GAGGCCAGGGGGGCCAGACTGGGCCACGCCTCCTCCCCCCACACACCCCTTACCTGCTTCAGGCTTCCCGGGAATCAAATGTTCGTGGGAAGCAGAGGAGGGGGTGGAGTTGGGGCGGGGCCAGGGCCCCGTGGAGTGTCCTCCTTTTGGAGGCTCAAAATATGGTAACCCTAGCACAACTACACTAATCAATCATTTGCTACAGGGGTGAATCTGGGAATATTAGGAAATAGCCTTTCAACAAATACTAGTTGGTACCTAAAATAGCCTTCCCTGTGTCTGACCCTTCACCATTCCACTTTGAAATCTAGGCCATTTATTGATTTCACAAAGATCTCAAGAGCGCTTCAGTCACTGTAACATTCTCCTCACCACCTCTGAAGAATCCAGGTACAAAAAGTTTTGATCTAACAGCTGCAGATTTAATTCAAACAAAATTAATTAAATATTTTTAAACTGTTAACATTGGTACAAAATAAATGCAGTATCCACGGCAGACCCTGAACACAAGCAGCCTCTGCATCCAATACAAGCTTCACAAAACACGGTATATCCCCTTTGTCACAGGGGATGGAGGGAAGAGCTCACTGCCAAACCAACACAGCTTCCAGCACACAACAGGATTAGAGCACACACATGACCTACTTTGTCCATGGCGCCTTCCAACATCTTAGGGCTCAAGAAATCCTGTGGCTGGCCCTACCCCTACCCACTATATATCCTGATAAATATGCAGTCCCCAAGTGACTAGACTTTTCATCTGGGGGCCCACACAAATTTTGTGGATATAGCCGCCCCCGCAGAAATCAACAGCTTATTTTGATAGACATGTCCCTTTGGTACTTTCTACGGTGGGTGTGGTGTTATAAGGTAGTAGCAAGAGATGCCAATACAAGATTTACCCAGTCTAAACAACCTTTTATGCAAGTGAAAAGTCCTCAAAAATGTATTTAAGTTGTCAAGACAAGTTGGAAAGAAAAAATGAATAAAAGGGGATTTAAACAATTTACATTAAAAGAAAAAATTAAAAAGACAAGGTGGGTGAGGTAATATCTTTTATTGGACCAACTTCTGCTGATGAGAGACAAGCTTTTGAGCTACACAGAGCTCTTCTTCAGGTCTGGAAAAGGTACTCAGTGTGTCCACTAAATACAAGGTCAAACAGAAAACTTGTCTCACACACCAACATAACTTGATCCAATGAAAGATATGATGTCACCCACTTTCTCTCTCTAATATCCTGGGACTGACATGACTACACCAACACTGCATACAAAAAATTAAATTTAGTCATCCAAATGGGTTGACACAAATTAATAAGGCTCATTACTTAAAGAACGTTGGCCTTGTGTTGATCCATGCAGAGATTAGTCATTGACAATTTTAAATAAATGTATTCATTATATTAGAAGCCAAGTATACTATTGAACATCATAGTGCTAGCAAAAACACTAATAGCTAGGGCCCTAACAAATTCATGGTCCATTTTAGTCAATTTCATGGTCATAGGATTTTTAAAATAAAAAATTTCATTTCAGTTATTTAAATCTGAAATTTCATGGTATTGTAACTGTAGGGATCCTGACGCAAAAGGAGTTGGGGAGGGAGGGTCACAAGGTTATGGCGGGGGGGGGAGAAGAGTCGCAGTACTGCTACCCTTACTTCTGTGCTGCTGCTGGCGGCAGTGCTGCCTTCAGAGCTGGGCAGCTGGAGAGCAGTAGCTACTGGCTGGGAGCCCAGCTCTGAAGGCAGAGCCACTGCAAGCAGCAACACAGACATAAGGATGGCATGGCATGGTATGGTATTGCCACCCTTATGTCTGCGCTGCTGCTGGTGAGGCGCTGCCTTCAGAGCTGGGCGCCCAGCCAACAGCTGCCTCTCTCCAGCCACCTAGCTCTGAAGACAGTGCAGAAGTGAGGGTGGCAATACCATGACCCCCACTAAAATAACCTTGCGGCCCCCCTGCAGCTCCCTTTTGGGTCAGGACTCCCAATTTCAGAAATGCTGGTCTCCCCTGTGAAATCTGTATAGTATAGGGTAAAAGCACACAAGAGGCCAGATTTCATGGGGGGGGGAGGAGACCAAATTTCACGGTCCGTGACGCCTTTTTCATGGCCGTGAATTTGGTTTAGCCCCACTCCTAGCCAATGGACTCCCTCTCAGTGATGGGCAATATGGGTGTATCTAATCTTTTTCAATATATTTGCCATATGGTTCTTGTCTAATTCTGAACCATCTGTAGTCGGTCTCATTTAGATTATACTCATCATAAAATTGTCAGTGTCAAACAGTCTTCACCACCACTACACAAGCAAGTTAAAGTGTACGCCGTGCTCTGTCTTGAACAACTACAGTTGCCTCCACACTTGGCTTTTTACATCTACATGTAATGATTTCCAGGAGTGCTTCAGTGGCAGGGGTGTCTGTCATTAGTGTTGGAGAAATCTGTCCATCCTTGTGATGCCAGCTATTTCCATGCGGAGGGAAGGAGGAGAAAGATGTCAGGTCAAGCCTCCATGGCAAGGTTCCAGATAAAGGTCTGGAATGGTTGGTATGTTGCACAAGACTATCATAAATTGGGGGGAGGGCCTTGTTCCAGGTCTGTTTGTGACAGGAAAGCTTATATCGCACACCATTTACATGTGCTGAGTTAGTCATTGTGTCATAGAAAAGGGTTATCAGAAGTTCCTGCGCAGTTGAAATCAGCACAAGTATCTCCACCACAGTGCCAAAATTGGCAAGGCTTCTAAATTTGTGTGGATTTTTCCTGATAAACTTCCATGGCTTTAGTTTGCAAGCCATGCCAGATTGCTGGTTGAATTACACCCAGTCAGTGTGTGTACTGCTGGCAACATTCTACATAGTTGTCCAAGTGCAGCTGCTTTGGCATGGGTTGGTTTATCTTCCACACCAGTACATACCCAAAGCTTTAGCTGTTTCCAACTTGTAAATAAAATTACTCCAGCCACTGACACTGCAGTTCTCAGAGACCACACCACTACATGAGGTTATTCTTATGAAAGCAACATGAAGTAGAGGGAGAGTATCTCGTTCTTTGTGCAATGAGAATAGATTTTCTTGGTCTACAACTCCCTCTGAAGTGAAAGATATCCCCTGATTCAAGTCCCTTGTAGCATGGCTGAGGACAGGCAAAGAACAAGTTGAACAGCACTAGAGTAAGTACGCAGCCTTGCTTCACTCCATTCGAGATTTCAAATGCGTCTGAAAAGTCACCACTGGCGAGCACTTGCACTGTCATGTGGTCATGGAACAGATGGATGATTTGTATGAACCCCCTCTTGGGCAGCCCATTTTATGTAGAATAGCCCATAGACCCTCTGTGTTGACTGTATCAAAAGCTTTGGTCAAATCAATGAAAACTGCATTCAGGTCCATGTTGTGCTCTAAATTTTTCCTGGACCTGCCTTACGACAAAGATCATGTCTATAGTACTACTACCTGGTCTGAAACCACATTGCACTTCTGGCAGATTCTCCTCAGATATGTCTACAATGAGTCTGTTCAGTAGAATGCAAGCTAGTATTTTCCCTGTTGTACAGAGAGCAGTGCCTCTGTAGTCAGCTTTGCTGCCTTTGTTTTTGAACAATGATACAATAATAGCATCTTTGAAATCTGTTGGCATTTCTTCTTCCTCCCAAATGCTAGTCAAGGTATCATGAAACACCTCGATGCCTTAGGGTCTGTTACTTTATACAGTTCTGCTGGAACACCATCCTTTCCAGAGGCTTTGCCAGAGTTCTGTTGTTTGTATGGCTTTCATAACTTCCTCAACTGATGGAGGGAGATCGAGATCATCTTTGATGGATTTCTCAGGTAAATGATCATTGTGTAAGCAGATCATAAATTACACATATAGACAAAACAAGTAGCAGACGCAATGTTGAAGATAAATTTGCCATAATGAAATTAATGTATAGTTATACACATGTTAAAAGAGAGGCATTACTTTGACTTTTCAAGAAATGTGTGAAGGCAATTTGACATGATTTACAAAAAAGTATCCATAATTCTCAGTGTTAACCACTGCATAATAGCACATCTCCCTAAAAATCACTTAATCCCATCCTAAAAATGTGTTGGATTTTAAATTTAAAATTACAAATTTTAAATTTAGGCAGGGTTTTCCATTTGGGCTCCAACTATTTATTAATTTTCTGTAAGTAATTGTCACCTCAGAGTCAATACCTCTTCCAGTTTTAAAAGGTGAAAAAAAAATGTTGCAATAAAACTAAATCTCTCCCAAATTCTTTATTTTTTTTACAAAATAGCTCTCGGTGGTTTTGCAGTTACCCCAAAAATATCAGAATGCATGAGCACTACAGTCGCAAGTACTGTGCAGCCACTTGCTTGCTTTCTCTGAGTAAAGTACAGTAGCAGCAAGTATCAATTACAAACATACACTATAGTAACTAGCTATATCTGTTGTGCTGTGGACAAAACAGGAATGTTTTCAACCCTGTTTCCTATAGTTTCTGTATTAAATGCTGTGCTCACCATGTTAAAGGCTCACACTGACAATCAAGTCCACAAAACTGAATGTTATTAATTGTATGTAGAACGCATTCATTCTAGGTCACCCAGCCATCCACAACTGCAAGAATATGAAATTTTCTGAAACACTAAATATCTTCATCAGCAGATGGTAACTGTATTTTGTAAACACTAACTGAATATAATATACAGAACAGCATCACTAGAATTTTGATAGGTGGGGTTTCAGTAGCCTCTAAAAGCTGCGAGGAGTCTTGAGTGCAGATTAATGGCAAATTTTTATTATGTTGGTTATGTTTCAAAATAATCTGCCTTTTGAATGGGGAGGAGGGGAGGAGATTCAGAGCCCGAAAAGGTGCTTCCTCTTCTTATTCCTCCATTCAGTCTTGATTTGAGTTTACTCTCCTCCTGGCCAAACAGTTCCACGCCATTCCTTTCAGAATCCAATGATACTCCTCCCTCTGCAGCTGCAGCAATCCCACAAAGCCGAGTCAAGTGCATTGCAACTCGTCTCATGTTAGTGTGTTCTGCTACCACTAGGCAGCTGGGCATGATGGCTAGTTAAATAAAACAAATAGCAAGCAACAACAGCAATGCTGAAGAAGGTTTTGATCTTAGGAAACACTTGAAAGTAACATAAAATAAGTCTTGACATAAAATATTAAGTATTTCACTTTATACGAAAGTGAGGTCAGTCAGTTCAATATTCACAACAAAACACAAGGCATAAGATATTAAATATCTTCTACTGAAATAGGCAAAAAGGTCTGATGTTAGCAGCTGAATAAGAGTTCTTGATACCACAGAAACAATAAAAGACACTTTGCTTTAGAAACCAAGGTTTTTCAGTCAAGGATCTGACGTGAGGCTTGGAAAACTGGTTTGCTTTCTAAAATGATTGGTGGCTCTGAAATCAGCAAATCATCTTCCCCCAGTGAAGAATTCTGGTCAGTGTTCACGAAGTTGGGGATGTTAAATTTTGTAAGGCAATTCAGCTCCTCCTCCAGCCTTCCACTACTCCTAGCTACTTCCTGGAAGTGAATATTACTGTCCAGACCTGGGGCCTTATGGCTTTGTTTTGCTTTGTCCAAATGCTCCACTTCATTAATGTAAAAGTGAAAGAGTGACCTGGACTCTTCAGCTACTTGACGCGAAAATACCCTGTCTGACTCCAGAGGTTTTCCAAAGTCTGCCACAAAGCTACTCACGTGAAATCTTTTTTCAGAAGGTTCTGTATTGCTGGGGGGAGGGAAAAAAAGCAAAATTATATGTACTAAAATAGCCATGGAAATAAAAATAACTATTAGACTTCAAAATGATTATCTCTCAGTATCAAATGTAACTTCAGCAGGCATCAAAATTGGGAATAAATGCAAAAATATTCATTTACTGAGGGCATGCTTAAAAGACGAACTATCTACTTCATATTTTCTGTTGTAAAATGTTTCTGTTTATTTGTATAGATGTTGTAGTGCTGGAATAGATCATTAATGCCAGCATTCCTACACTGCACTTTAATATGCCAGGTGTTAGAAACCCCTGATCCTCCCATTTCATTTAATCTGCTAAATACTCCTTGTTTAGTATTATGAGTAATAACAGTAATAATTAGAGTAGCACTTAACATTTTCAGAGCATTCTACAAAGCATTAACTGACATCTGTGGGATGTATGTATGTGTACTGCCCCCATGTCTCTTTTGTGACTAGTAATCACTTGACTAGCTGGTGGTCTGCGGAGGCATCTATGAAGCTGAACTCTAGGGGACGTATACTCAGCACTTCAATGCCTAATGTTTAGGAGCCTTTGCTGCCTAGTGGAATCCACAGCCCCAAGTTAGATGCGCCGGTCTCTCCAAACAATACCGGGGGAGGAGTCAGGTGCCTAAGAATGGGATTCACAAAGGCCAGCATGCTGAGCAGTGAACCACCTAAGCTAGGCAATAGGTAAAGGCCCTTCGTTATTGGTGTTTATTGATTTTCCCAGAAAAATTCTCAGGGTTTTTAAAAAGCCAGTATTCAGGTGTTGCTGATATTCATCCAAATTGTGGCTTTTCTGAGACCCGGGAATTTTTTGCAGGGGAAGCAGATGGGGCCAGTGCGGTTAGCAGGAGGCTTTGCCCAGCAGGGGGGCTAGTACTCCTGGGGAATAGTCTTTCACTTCCCCTCCTGACCCAGCCCAGGGGTGGAGAGAGACATATGCGCAAGGAGCTGGGTCCTGCAGCTGAGACGCCCATCTGCTGCAGGACTGGAGCAGAAGCTTCCTCAACTGCCCCTTGGTGTGTACGCCCCACTCCCCCGCAGCCACAACTACCCTCGGTTTGTTTTTTGTTTGACTGATTTTTCTCCCAGTAAAAACCAATAAATTCCCAGGACATTAAAAAAATTAAAAAACCCAAAGCGAAGGGACTTCCTCATAGGAAATGACATGAGGGGTGTGGCCTAGTCCCCACCTCTCGAAAGGATTTAGGAGCTTATGTCTGAGCCAGAAGGAAAATGCCTCTCTCTGCTTGGTATTCACAGCCTGAAACCCTTTCCTGCAGTTCCGCAACTAAGCCCTTTCTCACCAAAAAAAAATGAGGAGCTGGTGTCCCCCCTTATAACCTTATCCCAGTGGTTAGAGCACTCACCTAACATGTTGAAGACCTTGATTCAAATCTCCCTTCTGCCCGATGTGCAGCAGGGATTTAGAGCCACATCTCCCAAGTTTCAAGTGAGAGTATTCTAACCACCAGGCTATGAAATATTCTGGGGTTGCTCGCTCTCTCACTGTCTCCTGATGAAGCTGTTCTATTATGTACAAATATTATAGGCCAGACAGAGTGAGAATGCTCTATAGCCCTATGACTAGGGCACTCTCCTGAGAGACTCAAATTCCTGTTCCAATGACTATTTAGTTATTTATACAAAGTGAAACAGCTTCAACATGAGACACAGAGAGACCGACTCTAGAATACTCTATAGCCCAGTGGTTAAGATGCTCACGCTTCTCAGATTCTGGATAAAATCCCAGCTCCATCAAAGCCAAGGGCAAAACTCCATTGATTTCAATGGAGCCAGGATTTCACCCATTGTTTCAAACTGAGGACAATATAAAAGGCCAGGAGGACAGCAGGATAGCTATGAAGACTGGATAAATAGCTAGGAGACCCAGAAATTCAAGGGAGCCTAAAGAGTAGTAGAAAACCATCCTATGCAATAAGACTTTTATATGATATATCAATACTGATAAATCAAATAAGCAGCGTAAAGTTTAAACCCTATGTTACACAGAGAAGATCTATATGGTATAAAATGCAGGTGTATTAGATTCAGTATGATTAGAAAAGTTTGCCCAAGAGCAAAAAACATTGTCATTTTAGAGAGTATTCTATTAGTAGAATTTCCATTACAATAATATCCTGTGCTTTACAAAGCCAGTAAGTGTGTTCTAATGGATTTTAATAGATTTGCACAGAGGAAGTTAAATTTCTGTAAAGTTTAAAAAAAAAAACACACAACACAACACACACACACACCTAGGCTTTACTATATTAAGGCCCTTTATAATGGATAGTTACCAATTTTCCCCAAAAAATTCTCAAGTTTTTCAAAAAGTCGTTGTTCAGGTTTTACTGATTGCTCCTCCCCTCCCCCCCATTTTTGGGACCTGGGGAATTTTTGAAGGAGAAACAGATTGGGCTGCACTGAAGGGACGGAGTCAGGAGGGGGCTGCATCTGGTGGGATGAGTACTCAAAAGATATAGCCTCCCTTTCTGATCCCTAACCCCTCAGTGAGGCCCCGTTCACTTCCCCTGCATGGGGGCTGATGGAATGAGATGGGCAAGGAATTGGGCCCCTGCAGCTGAGATAAGCCAACTACTGGAGACAGTGGAAGGCTTCCTCAACTGCCACATACAGAGAACACCGTCACTGCCCGTTGTTTTCAGTTTTTAAACCAATTTGCTCACGCTTTTTAAATTTTTGAATAAAAACTGATAAATTCCTGGGAAATTTAAAACAAAATAAATATCAAAAAGAAAGGGGATTAGATGTTTTGCACTATTGGGCACAATACAAGCTACAATGATTGATACAGATATTCTTTTTCTGTTTATATTAGTCTGCCTTGGTAATTTTGAGCAGTCTGAAGCTGTGCAATTATATTAGTCAACAATTTGTAAGTACAGGTTACAAGAACAGACTCATGAGGTATGTATACTGGTTTTCCTAAGGCCATTTTTAAATGAGCTAACAATGGAGTCTGAAAATCTAGCCTAGTTTTCATGCACAGATACAACAAGCCTCAGAAAGAAGAACAGGAGTACTTGTGGCACCTTGGAGACTAAGGTGCCACAAGTACTCCTGTTCTTTTTCTGGCTACAGACTAACACGGCTGCTACTCTGAAGCAAGCCTCAGCAATCTTGTGTCTTTTTTTTTCCCCAAACTGATTTTCTAAACATGGATAATGTACAAAAAACACAGACAAAAACAATTCTGGCCTTATTTCCATAATTATCAAAATAGAGTTCTTATTTTTCCCTGCCTGCTACATTTTCTTTCTATTCTGTCCTCACTCTATTTTATATATCCTGACTGAAGACCTCAGGAAATCTGGTTTTGGACATCCTGTACAATTCTACTCAGAATATGCCCAGAGCCTATTTGTCTGAGGTGGTAAGCAGCCTTTGATGCACAGACTGGAGAATTCTGCTACCTATTCTGGATTAAGTTACATTTGTGCCCACATTAAGGCCCCTTTAACACTGCCAGAGTGGTCTAAAGCAGTGCTTCTCAAAGCCAGTCCGCCACTTGTTCAGGGAAAGCCCCTGGCAGTCCGGGCCGGTTTGTTTACTTGCCGCATCAGAGGTTCGGCCGATTGCGGCTCCCACTGGCCGCGGTTCGCCATCCCAGGTCAATGGGGCGGCGGGAAGCTGCGCGGGCCGAGGGATGTGCTGGTCGCCCTTCCCGCAGCCCCCATTGGCCTGGAGCGGCGAACCACGACCAGTCGGAGCCACGATCAGCTGAACCTGCGGACGCGGCAGGTAAACAAACCGGCCCAGACCGCCAGGGGCTTTCCCTGAACAAGTGGCGGCCCGACGTTGAGAAGCACTGGTCTAAAGGGACAACAGTATAGCTGTGAATCAGGGTCTCTTCCAAGACCTGGGTATCCCATTAACATCAACTTGCCAGTGAAGTTCTGCAAAACAATTCACTACTGGAACTATGGGTCAGGAAAAGGTCCGATGAGATGGGAGGGGAGGGAAAATACATCTCAAACTAAATCCACAGCCTGCATTGACTTTTCCAGTAAATATTTACTTTTCCCAGAAAATGTTATATTCTTACACATGCATCAAAAAGAAAAAGGGAACAATAGCATTCATTGCCTTCAGAGAACACTGATAAATAATGTTTCTAGCTCAGTAAGCAATATGTTATCTGAATCAATATAAAATAATAATGCTCTAAGACACTGGAACCAGTCACTCCAGACACAGCTGTGATAATAACAAATATTCAACCATCCTACACTCAAATCTACATCCCATAGCTCCAAAGGAAGCCAAAACTAAAGTAGGCACAACTGAGAAGACTGCTTTGCTTGGGGAATGAGGAAAAATACTAACAGACAGCACGAGCACAGTGGAAGGCTTCTGTAGGCCTTCCTTTCTCCCTAGAGGCATCTTTCCCACAGTACAAACATTTACTCATGCTGAGAGACACCCATATCATTGCGTGTTCATTGCACCATGCTCACTCCAATCATTCCTCTCCCCCACTATTTGCATGGATTACAGTAGCACATGGTGGATCAAATCAGGGATGACTGCTCCAACAAGCCAAGCACCATTTAGACATTTAAGCAAAGAGACTCTTAAGCTCTTTTGGGGCAGGGTCTGTCTATATTATGACAAAACACAGCAGGAAGAGTTGACAAACAGAAGGGGACGACGACGATGAGGTAATGGTGGAACAAGCAGTAGTCAGCCTCTGAATAACAATGCTCCCTCGTATGTTATCTCCCTCCTTCACTGCACACACATAATTTCCATCTCATGGGTAATTTCAACATATCAATATTTGTATTCATTCTGAATCTGAAGGAAGATTAATAGTTTAAAAAATTCCCATGAAACAGAATTTCTGAACAATTTTGATTTAGAAAAATGAACATTTTGGAATTTTGAAATTTTATTTTGTATATTGTTTTTACATTATTTCATGACATAATATATACTACTCCTGGGAGCATTCTG